CATCATAAAAAAAAACTATCAGCCAAATTTCCTTAAAATTTATCAAAAAGTAATTAATTTAAACATTTTTAATTAAGGTATTAATTCATAATTAATTAATTAATTACCAGAGCAGCAAAAACAGTTCCAGCATTTCCATCATAGATAACAAACCCAAAGCATCCTTCAAGATCCTTAAGAACTTGATCAGCCGGGTACGGACCGCGGTCTCGGAGGGTCCGATAAGCTTCAATGACAAACATTGCTTCATTGGTAGCCTTGCCAAGACCATATTGCTTAATCAACGTGTTTAAATTGTTTAAATTTCCCAAGAAAATGCAATACATGTTGTCCATGCCACAAAAAATCCTGCTCATCATAAAATAAAATCATATTACTACTTAATGTTAAGTGTAAAAATAATAATACCAAAAATATACCATTCAATCAATATTGGTACAAGATTTAATTTGTCACGTTAAGGGTCAAGTTACACTATTTACGTGACTATTAATTAATTAGTGATCGCCCGAATAAGTTATGGTAAAATGAGTACCTTTGTTGGTGAAGTTGAGGGCCTTTAGAAGAGGAATAAGCAAGAAAAGCAGAATCACCAAAACCAATAGAAAGAGGGGCATTTTGGGGATAAGATTGTTGAAACATCCTAACAATTTCTTGAGGGTATTTGGGTTTGTTACCCGACCCGGATGGGTGTGAAGCCGGGCTGTTGAGCTCCTTTGGTGGATCCACCAAACCTTTGTTGAATATTGCCAACATTTTCTCTTTACCAAATTAAAATGAATGAAAAATTCTCAAAATACGAAATTTGCAATATATTGGATGATGAATGATTGATGAAGTGTTGTGAATGAATGAGTTAAAGGATGTGTATTTATAGTGGTTGTGAAGAGAGAATAAAAGGAAAAAATTAATTCTTGATAATACAAAAGGCTCATTTTCTATTGTGGATAAGGTCGTAATCGAAGAGGCTCCTTTTAAAATTAAATAATAATAATAATTTATTTTTTTTTTGGGGTGAAGAAATAAAATACTCCGTAATACGGAGTACAGAATAACGGAGTGTCAATTTTTTACTCATCCGTATTATTTTTTGGAGGTGACTTTAAACGTTGAATGTTGGATTTTAGTGGAGATACTACATTTTTTTTGTAGCAATATATACTGAACATTAATGTCAAAGATTACTAGTTCTTCTCAAAATAAAAAAAAAATTAATAATAATAAAAATTACTACTTGTACTTATATTTTTTTGGGAGTTTGAAAAGTTGGATTTTCTGTTTGTCAAATAAAATAAGCCGGGTTTCCTTTTAGACTAATCTATATACATTCACTAAAAGTCCGTAGAGTAATCCAAACTTATACAGAGTAAAATCCTTATTTTGAACCTAAAATATACTCCCTCCGTTTTTAAATATTTGTTCCATTTTTATTTTTTGCACTATTTATTTATCCTGACTAATATTTGTGATTTATACATAAGAAAAAATATAATCTTGTGGGTACTTGTTGGAATCATCTCAATGAGTAGATTATTAATTTTCAATTGTTAGAATTTATACTTATTGATTATTAAATATATTAGTGTTCAAAAATTAGCACCGGCATGCGTGTCCAAGAGAAATGGAGCAAGTATTTAAAAAAGAGGGAATATCCCTTAACACTATGTAGTATGTATCAATCTAAAACCAGACCGGAACTAAAACTAGAACCGGAGCCGGTTGGCCTTAAATATATCCCTTAACACTATGTATCAATTTAAAACTAGACCGGACCGGACCTGAAACCAGAACTGAAACTAGAACCGGAACTGTTGGCCTAAATTGGTCAATGTGTTCATGTCTGTCACGTGATGATGATATGGAGAGCATTAGATTCAGGCTGTTTGTATTAATCAGCGGCGAGATGTGGGAGACTGACATAGATAATTGTACATGTAAAACATATCCAGGTGTACGATAGTGGTTGAAGAATATGACATTGATCTGAGTCAGCCTATCCACTTTGTACATATCACTCAATTTTGGATAAGGCTGACCCCACACTTTTCTCACTTTTCAAACTTATCTGACGTGCCACCACGTTTCGTCTAATGTTAACCCATCTTCAACGCATCATGTCTTAACTTTTTTTTTTTTTGGGTAAATAAAACAAATCGGGAGGACAGAATTATACCACCTTCATTTCCTATTAGTACATCTATTTTATACAGAGTATTATTTTGCAATGATTTGACATGAATTAAAGTGATAAAATGTCTAATTATTACAAATAATATAAAACGGAGGTATTATTTGTAACTACTAGATACTTCTTCTGTTTCTTTTTATTTGACACGTTTCTTTAGTTACGTTTGTCAATGCATAAATTCAACCGTTAATACTACCTCCGGTCCAAATTACTCGCAATTTTAGGATATTATTTGTGAGATACTCCCTCCGTTTTTTTTATATGCATCACCTGGTGATGCACGGAGTTTTATAAGGGTAATATAATATTGTATGTGGATGAATAATTTATTATAGTATAAGTAAGATGTGGACCATGAAAGAGAAAGAATGTGAGGGAGAGTAGATATTTTTATTATATAAGTGTGAACCATAGAGGAGAGAGAAATGATAAAATAATTTAAGTGGGGTTTAAAGTAAGAGAGAGAAATGATAAAATATAGTATAAAATTTCCAAATAAGGAAGTGATGCATTTAAAAAAAACACCCATAAAAGGAAAGTGATGCATATAAAAAAATAAACGGAGGGAGTACTCCGTATAAAATATTCCAAAGTTGCGAGTAATTTGGACAGGAGGTAGTATCTTTAATTATCGATATAAGTCACAAACTACAGTTGAAGAGAAGTGTGTGAATAGTGCTAAAATTAAAATGTATTAACTAATAAAAAACGGAGTTAGTATTTATTATAAAATACAATAAAATGGAGGTAATATTAATTATTCTATCTGTCATGCATCTTTTTTTTTTTTTAACTATGCATTTTGACTTTTGCATTATTCCGTTATTTGTATACTTCCTTTGTTCCATAATAATCGAAACATTTTTAACTAATATCATTAATATTTGTAATTATATATTATTAAGAAGTATGAAAGGTTAATACAATTTAAATATACATAATGTTTCAAAAAAGAAATGTAAATATATACATAAAGATTAATCTAAAATTAATTTACTTATCAACACATATTTTTTAGATATTGATAAAAAAAAATTAAAAAAATTAGTGAAAGTAAATCCTACCGAATAAATACTATCTCTGTTTCATATTATTCACAACGATTTGTCATAAAGTAGAAAGAAAAAATGTCTAATTGTTGCAAATAATATGAAATAGAGGTACTTTATAAAATTATAAATTTCACTTTCTCAAAATACCCCTCTTATTTTTTTCTTTTTTTTAAAAAAAAAATAATGTCTGGTGGTGTTAATAAGAGATGAGATACAAAAAAAAAAAAAAAAAAAAAAAAAAAAAAAAACATCTTTTACAAATAAAACTACCATCTCAAAATAATGTCTGGTGGTGTCAATAAGAGATGAGATATAAAAAAAGAAAAATAAAAAAAAATTAAAAAAAAAAACATTTTTTACAAATAAAACTACCGTCTCAAAATAATGTCTGGTGGTGTCAATAAGAGATGAGATATAAAAAAAGAAAAATAAAAAAATAAATAAAAAAGAAATAAAAAAAAAAACATCTTTTACAAATAAAATTACCATACTTATCCAAAAAAAACCATCTTACCTTTTTAAAATTATTTTTTGAGAGATTTCAAATTCAACATTTTTTTTTTCTTAGAGGAAAGTGCGGGAATTATATTAAACAAGATCAAGATCCACCAAAATTTGTAGGCTTTGGGGGAAGGAATTCATACAAATATGCTCCATATTATCATCGGTTTTCCATCTAGCAATTAAATGGGCAACCGTGTTTCTTACTCTTATCACGTGATTACATTTACATTTACATTTAAAAGACGAAAAAGAATTGCACACTCCCAACGTCATTGTAAAGTAGGAAGATCGGTGCAACTCCATCAGGTATTGTTCAGCGAATCACATTCAAAGCATCGCCTTCCAACACCACCTTATCACATCCCAGTCTTCTCGCCAATTCCACTCCATATCTCGCAGCCTAGCCTCCGCCAGTCCGCCGCTGTCCAAGCCATCTTCAGTCTCTTAGCAGCAGCAACTAAGAGGGCACCTTGATCATCCCTAATAACTACTCCCAAGCCCACTCCAATCCCTTGCATAATATGAGCATCAAAATTTACCTTAACGGCAAGGGTACAGCTTTCCAACTAGCAGCCGATTGTGTGGGGGACTGGTTATTGATCATACAAACCTCCATTAACAGTTATTTGCAACAAAGGGGGCATGTAAATATGGGCATATGCTTAAGCCCTTAAGTATTAATCCTACTACCAATACAATGTAATCCACATAAGCTTTGCAAAGCCACACGCAATACTCGCCGAATCATTAGACTACTTGAGACATACTAAATGTCTGAATACAGCAATAATGTACTCGCAGCATTTTGCCCTTCTAAACTAATTCGTTTACAAGAACACTTTTCTCTCTTTTTTAAGGTGATGATGGTGAGAGGTGTTATCTGAGGAGAGGAATAATTTAGTTTCATATCGTATTACGGCATATAAAGTATAAGGTTAAAGAGTAAGCTTATGGTATACTCTATACAAGGATGTACTTCAAAGAAAACATTATTTAAGAACTCCAATTAATTTTAGGAATGCACACCAAAGGGACATTAATACCTCCATAAACATATTATTATACCATAAAATATCTATAAACCTTCTAAAGTCGTAAGTACTACCTCCGTTAACAGTTATTTGCGACGAAAAAGACATGCGCGGACTCCTAGGCGAAAGTTTTAAAACATGATTATTGAAATATAAGGGTAGTACTTAAGTATTAATCTAATTTTTAAAAAACCACAATTAACCAAAATCAATAAACCACCAAACTCAGAACCCAGATTCACCAGCACCACTGAAACCCACAACCCACCAAAAACCACCACCACCGAAACCCAGAACCCGCCGAAAACCACCACCACCGACACCCAGAACCCACCGAAAACCACCACCAACAAACCTACTGAAACCACCACCACCGAATACCACCAACACCCAAAAAACCACCATCAAAACCCATTGAAAACCACCAAAATCCACTAAATACCACCACTGAAAACCACCACGTACTATAACCTATCGAAAACAACCACCAAACCCACTGAAAACAACCACCAAAACCACGAAATCCCCAATCAAACCACCCCCTTCCCCCCATGAATTGAATTAATCCCAACCACCACCACCACAAATTGAATTAATCCCAACTACCACCATAAAACCCAACACCACCTAGACCACCCACAACACCTACGAAACCTTGAACACCACCTAGACCCCCGACACTTAGATCCACCCCCGAAACCCACAAAACCTTGACCACCATATCCACGATACTCGTGCCGCACAAAACCACCTCCAATTTTAGATCTCCATGGACGAGAAATTTTGTTGATGAACCACGAAGGGGGAGTGAGATTTTGATGAATATGATGATGAATGAGGAGTGAGAAATATGATGAACTAGATGAATGTTGAGAGATTTGGTTTTTTTTACGGATTTGATTTTTTTTCTTTAGAAGATTAGATGAGTTAAGTTAGGGTTATAATAGAGTATAGTTAGTGAAATAATTAAAGGAGTAAGTTGGTTAAGTGATGGCAATTTGGTCATTTCAAACAAAAAACTTACCAAAAGAGGAAAAAAATCAGTTTGTTGCACATAATATATAGCACCTGTTTTTGGCAAATGTTGCAAATAACCGTTAACGGAGGTAGTATTAAAATTACTTTAAAAACACCCCAAAAAGAGAACTATACACAAACCTCTATTAAGTTCACAGTAAGACAAAATTTATGTAGTCTATACTCGAGCACATACAGTTCCAGAAAACACACAAATATTAGTGCAACACTCTTTTGACACAATACAATAAGTAACAAGGAAAATTTCCTTTTAAGATATCATACAAGATACTACACTAACAGGCTAAAAACTGCATTCTGCAATAAGCAGGTCATGTAGCTGATATATATGTAGTACAAGTGTCGATCATGGACTGCTAAGAGCAGGAATATGTCGTTGGAAGCTTCAAAGGTGAAAATGAAAGTAGAAGTAATGCACCTGTACATCCATTTTACATGCTATCACCAATCACCTTCGAAACCTTTCACCCGCTGTAATCAGCACTGTAGAATTTGTCTTCGGGATAGTAATCAGCAGTGACAGTGTTACCACCAAATTTTCGTCCACCAAGCATGTTTTTTGCATTTGAACAAGAAACCGTATCAGCATACTCCAAGAACACCTGCAAAGAAGATAATTGAGATGTTGCACTTCAGCATCATATATAACACAGCCACAATTAGGGATGGCAATTTAGTTCGGATCCGATTCGAGTCCGACCCGATCCGAAGGAAAAAGTCCGATACGAATCTGATATTTAAAAGTCCGAATCCGAATCCACCAAATAAAGTCCAACTCCTAATGGGAGCCGGATCGGACTCGGATCCAGTGTAGAGTCCGATCCGAAATAACCCGAGTCCGACAAATAGTAGACATGCACTTTTTTTTTTTTTATCATTTATATATAGTAAATATATTAATGCCCTAACAACCCTCCTTCGTTCCTTTTCACATGTGGCCGCCACCCCTCCTTCATTTATTCATTTCCCTTTCCATCTCAACTCTTTCTCTCTCCTCTCTTAACACCTCATTTCTTACTTTCTCACTGTAATCCAAGAGTATATCTATCATAAGAGTAATGTTTTTTGAAGAGTCAAAGTCACAAGCTCACAAATACTTAGCAATTTAGCAAGATTATTGTGTTTGGGTGCCTTTTAATCTCCTACTTGGTTGTGTTTTTTTGGCTATTTTGTTTATTTTTATTTATTTTTATATATATAATATGTATTATTTCATACAAGTATAAAATAGTAAAATACTCATAAATTTACATTTGCTTTAAAATTTTAAGGTTGAATTTTAATTTTTACATTTTTGGTTGTTGATATTATCACTTCTGGTGTAAGTCAGTCGAATTTGGATTCGGAGGTCCGGCAGTTTGGAGGTCCGAAAATCCAGCAGATTCGGACTCGGATTACATTGACCTGGACTCGGATTCGGTCTCGGACCCGTATTTATAGTCCGTTTATTACTCGGGTCGGATTCGGATCCTGTGAGGTCCGACCCGAATCCGACCCGTTGCCATTCCTAGCCACAATGCTAGAGAGAAAGAACAGTTATTGACAAAAATCAAGCCGTGAAGCAAAAGGCCAAAAAATAATCATGCTGAAGATGAACATTTTAAAATTGAACACGCCCGCACACACCCAAACACCCCCCCACCCCCCACACAGTCCACAACACCCACCCACCCACCCCCACACAAAAAACAAAAAAAAAAACAAAAAAAAACAAAGTAATAATAGTAGAGAGACTGATATGAAATTCAATGATAAAGAAACCATCTTTACCTTTCCAACACCAGGAATCAGTTTTCCCTCCATATCAGGTCGAGGAATAATAATAGTTGTCAGGTCTCCTAAGCAAAGTAATAATGATGCTAGTTAGTTTCAGCCCAAGGTGAAATATATGAAAGAACAAGAAAAAGTGCTGCTCAAGAAATCAATAAAAGCACATAAATTTCAAACAAGAAAGTCCCAACATTCTACCATAAAAAGAGAAAAATACAATCATAGCACTCACCAAATTTAGCACATTCATCTCTCATATCTTCTAAAATTTCCTCATACTCATTATCATCTCTAAGTTCATCAATAGTTACCACCTGACCAAGGCAATAAAAAATTAAGGACTAATTCATTGCTGCATTGAAGGATTAAAATATAGAAAACAGATAAGTTTGTATAATCATAGATACCTGATTCAAGCAAAGGATTTTAGTAGGATTTTCTGTGGTTGCTGAAGTTGGTAATGTGCCTCCAAGAAGATTGAAACCACTAGCTTCTATAACCATTTTCTGTATGAATAATTATGCTAAGAGATTAAAAACCACTGACAAACAGAAAACTACAGATTAGAAGCATTAGACGGGTAAGATTACTTCACCTGCATGGCTACATGTTGGTGCGCATGCGCCAAGAGATTTTCATGCTCTAATTTTGCCTGCCCAGTGCTGCATAGTTGTACATGACGAGATATAAAGCATGTACATAGAAAAAAAGGCTAGTCTGGAAACTGCAAAAGTGCATACAATAACAATTTCTATTTCTAAGCATTTCATTGTGCACTCTGAAACTCTAGGTCTCTAGGACAAGCAACAACAATAGCACTAAGACTTGGAAAGTTAGAGCAATATATATACAGACTTGATGCACAGTGCTAAAAAAAACAGCAACAGCAATTTGACAAGGTTGGGTGGACCGGTGGATGCTGGATTTATAAAAAGTAGGTCCGCAACAACTGACTAATTGCAACTTTTTCAATGAAATGAAAAAGATAGTGTGGCTTCAAATTTATATCAATTTTTCAGTCTATGCATGATATATAAGCTAGTATTACAAGAATTCTCTTGAAAGAAAAGAAAATATATATCTCAAAGAAAGTTTGGTTAGTCCTAAACGTGTCTTGTTTGCTTGACTATAAATGAAAAGAGAATGCTTCAGGTAAAGTTGGCAATAATTGACAGATGCATAGAAACACATTCTTTAGCAAATTGTCTACTTCACTAATAACGCAATACTTCTACATTAAAAAAAATTCACCCCTAATTTCACAAAACCTAGCCTTCTTCAGTCACAGATGGCTGGTAGCAATGCGTAACAATTTTACAGTCACCTCCCTAGGGGAACAAGTGCAGCAAGTATGATGTTCATGTAGATGTTGCTAGCATTAAATTCCAATAAACTAGAATCTGAGGAATGCAAGCTGACTAATTGAAGTTTAAGGAATACAAGCTGACAAAATGAAGTTTCTCCCAGGGAAGAAATGGAACATCAAACACCCAAAGTTCTAATAGTTCACTAGCTCAACATACCTGACAGCAGCCCTTCTTACAGTTAAGGTTTTATCACCCATTTTCAAGCCATTGAGGGCATCACAGGCAATATCAGTCACAGCCGAATCCTGTGATATATAAGCACACAACATTTAGTAGAAAGTTACATGAAAAATCATCCAATTTGAAGTTTAAAATTACATACAATAAACACAGCCTTAGTCCTCAAATGATTTGGGATTGGCTAACATGAACCGTCAAAAGGAATAGTCCGCAAAAAATGAAACAAAGAAAGAAGCTATAATATAAAAAGTGGACGAAAAGTCTAGAAAAATATAGTGAGCAAAAAACGAGGGCAGTGTTAAGTCAGGGGATGCTAAAAGAGAGGAGTCAGAGGACAAACAAGCAGGTAAAGAAAGTTTGAGAAAACCTAAACAAGCAAGTTTCTCTAAACCTAAATCTCAGACACCTATAGAACAGAGGCGGTAAACTAACCTGATAAACACAAAACCCATAGCCTTTGGAATTTCCCGTGTCTCTATCCTTCACAAGGTCAAATGCTTTTAGAGGTCTGCGATAAACAAATAGCAGAAGTAAATATGGATAATTATATCATTCGCAAGATAGAATGACAAATGTGGTAATAGTAGTTAAGAGACAGTTTAAATAGTACTCCGTATTACAAAAAACTAAGTACTAAATTATCAATCAACAAGCAGTTGAATCAACAGTTACATACCCAAATGATTGCAGCAACTCTCGCATCTGATCTTCATTAAAATAGTAAGGTATCCCACCAACAAAGATACGGTCAGGCCCTTCTGTCCCAGCTACAGCACTACCAAAAACAAATAACAGTAATTGAGCACAAAACAATACCCACTTCCACAAGGTTTGTATATGAGAAGAACAAGCAGAAAGATATCAGTGAAAAATCCCGATGAATTTTATAAAAATCAGCGAATTATTAGAAAATACTGTCCTTATGGCCGGGCCATCAGAAAATACTACCCCGTGTCCCTGTTCAAACTTGATTGCCCTTAACACTGTTTACTCATCATGGCCCTAAAGAGGCAGCACTGCAGCATTAGAGAAGTTTCTTATCCTCCCCCCAACCCGGCTCTAATCCAGTAGTCAACACTGTATGCTATGTTGCAATAGATAAATTTAATTGGCATTACAATCTAGTTCATTATATCCGAAAGTGACTCTTGAAAAGAGACAAAATTCACCATATAATCCAATACTTAAAACTTCCAACAAAGAGGATGGATCTACAAGGAAAATATCATATGATTAACAAACAATATTCTCCATTAACAGGTTCATTAATTTTAATTCACACATTTTACGGGAGGTCTGCAAGGCTATAGCACACTGGGAGGAGGGAATAGAATAGGTGAATAACTAGTAATGGACAGATAGACAA